TATACTCCCTCATTAGTTCAGAAGCATGGAAAAGCCGTGGAAGTGTGCACGGAAGAGCATGGAAGTGTTTGTTTACATTTACAAATGTTCTGACTTACAAAAATAACAGCTTTTTTTACACTTGCCACTTGGAACATGGCTTCTTATAAAAGAGCGATTCTCTCTGGGGAAGAATTTAACCATTAACAATTGTTGAGATAAAAGCCATTCAGAGCTAGAGGCCTGGGAGAGGTTTTGTTGTAAGCAGAAAGGGTGCACAGTGACACTGTCCTGCAGCCATCCTCCCCACCACATTTCATTTCCTTCTGTCTTGCAGAATAATTTGCTCAAGTTCCCAAAATGGTCATTAGGATTTAAAATTCAAGAGTAGTTGATTGCAGCCTGCTTTGCTTGGTTGATTTGAATGCTAGTTCTAAACCCTTCGGGGTCACCAACAAATTGCAGGCAGAGAGAAAGGATACAATCGTGCTGTTCAGACAGGCAGTGTCCAACTCACTGCAGCCCAAAGGACTAGCTTGGTGACATTTGCTGTCAGAGCCCCCATCCTTCCCGCTTTGCCAGACCCTCCACATCCCTACTCCCTATCCCCCAAAATGCCTTACAACTGCACAGATGCCTTTGGAATAGGCCCGGAAGCTCGTTATGTCTGCACTGAGGCTGCTGTGAATTGGGACTCCAGCTACTCAGCCTCCAGGAGCTGTGCTAATTCAGAATACTGCAGTTAAAGGTGAAATGAGAGGCGGTATCAATTTTTAAAAGCACTTTTGTTCCACATCTTCCACAATTCTCCATCTGCAATCTGTTCCCCACTTCAGAGGTAGGAAACAGGGGTGGTTAAGCAAGCAGGTTCCCCGGCCCAACTGCCCGGGCTGGAATCCATCTGTCGCCATCACTTCCTTTTTGTGTGCCCTCAAGCTAGTGACTGACCCAGCTCTCTGTGCCTTGGTGTTCCCTTCCATGAAATGGGTAGAAAAAGTATACCTACCTCATAGGGATTATCAGGAAATAAATGAGGAAATATACCTACAACACTTAGAATGATGCCTGGCACGTTGTAAGTACCCAGTATAAATGTTGGATGTGCCTATTTCTTGCCTAGGGAGAACACAGGTCAAGCAGCAGCATGTCACAAAGGTGATGCAACACCTTTGTCAGGACACCACTGTTTGGACACTCTCTTTATGTGCAGTATATAGAACTTTTAACCTGTATACCATTCTATAAACTCACAAATCTGCCCTGCTGAAGCTCTCTAAGGTACTTGTCTGTAAAGAGAAGACTCCCAACACAAGAAGTGCTGGGTGGCATTTGAACCTCTTTATGCTGGTTTCCTACCATGTTCAAGAGAAGGCTGGCAGAAACGCTGGGGCACAGGAGGAAAGCTGGCCAAACTAAGAAAAAAAGCCCAAAATCTCCTCGAAGTAAACAAAGATCCCTTTTTTATGCCACCAAAGCCCAACTTTTTTTTCCCTAAGTGGAATAAAATTAAGTCAACAATATAAAGGAAAGCAACACTTCTTGCTGGTATCCTTTTTAGGTCTGCTTAGCCTCAGACACACCTTGTACAGCCTGCAAGAACATTCTAAAAGTAGAATTGAATTCTGAGGGACGTTGTGACTGACAGCGTTACTTTTCCATTAGAAACCATTCAGGATTGTCTGGAACCAACTGACAAGAAAACTGGGGATTCTTCCCCTACACCATCCCCATCTCTGTGTACTCCTTCTGGATACATAAGAATCACATTACAAGAATTCATATTTATTAAGGAAGATTTTTGTGCCTAGCACTGAGCTGAACATTATAAAAAGCATTGTCCTATGTAATGCTCTTTGTGCTGCTTCCAAGAAAGAATGCAATGCTGGAAAGAAAAGACCTAAAAAGCCCTCTGGTTAGCGTTCCTGGACTCAGAAAGGGTTTATGTGTCTAGCTTCTTCAAATGCTAGACAGCAGTGTGCCCTAACATCAGGGCTGAGCACTGCTCAAACTAGAGGGACTGCATCTAAACAGCTTGTTAATTTAAAGTTCTCAAAAGTGATGAGGTGAGAACAAACCTATGGCAGAGACCAGTAAGAATTCTAACAAAGACCTGGTGGGAAGTCCATTCACTTAGTCACTCATTCATTCATTCATTTTTGACATACATACGGAGTGCCTGTTGTGTACCAAGCACTCTTCTGGGCCTAGGGATCCAGCAATGAACAAAACCATTCTTGACCCTCATGTAACTGTTCACATCTAGGGGTGTTTACCAGAGTACACTAAAAAAATTATGTGATACAAGATACAATAAATAAAACTAAGGGGAGAGTGGCGAGGGTCCTGTTCTAGATGGAGCAAACGTCTGAGGTCGTGATGTTTGAGCAATTCCTGTTGGGGATGACACGAAGGTGAATACCACATGGGTATGTGGCAGAAGCGCTCGGCAGAGGCCACAGCAAATGCAAAGGCCCTGAGGCAGGATGGCAGTTGGCCACTGAGCAGGAGCAGAATCAGCCAAGTAGTGACTGGAAGGAAGGGAAATCAGAGAGGCTGCCAGAGGCAGATCATGCAGACCTTTACAGGTCAGCAGCAATCGTTCCAGGCATTGAGCCCCTAGTAGGCTTGGGCTCTTAACACATTTTAATTTTTATAAAACCCTCTTTAATTAGGTAATATAACTTCTTAACAGTACCTGAAGCCACCCCCACTGAATGGTAGAGATCTCCTGGGATTCCAGAGCATCTGAGTTCATTAAGGGTGACGGTCTCTCCCAGCTGGTTGTTAACCAACACTCTCTTTTTCTCTCTCCCCATCCACTGGGACATATTTCTAGAGCAGAGAAATCTATTTTTAAGTACAATGAGATATTTATTGACCAGCTTTACTGTCTTAAAATACTTGTCTTAACCTTTCCTTATATCTGGGCAAATTCTGACACCAAATGGTGGTTTTCTGCAGCTAGGCCTTAACATACATCCTAAAATGACTTTCCTATAAAAAGTGATAAAAACAACTTGAAGCATAGCTGTACTAACAGAAAAAAAAAAAGAATAGTAATTTAGCAATAGGTCAATAGCCCATGATCTCTGGATTTCATTTTATAAAAGAAAGCTGTCTTTCTTTGCTTAGTCTAGGACATGGAGTTAATCTGTGTGAAAGCATGCAGGTGTTGGGCTAGTTACTAGAGAGCTCTGGGATTGTTTCTCAAATGAAATCATGTCATAAATAATTCTAAAAATATCATATTATAAAAATAGATTAACAGACTGAAAAATACAATGAAAACCCTTAGGGTCCCTATTAAAAAGGAAAGCATAATATCAATTGAACCTAATTTTCTACATTTTTATCCTCTGTAGTCAAAAGCGAGATGAAGATGTCCTCATTTTAGCTACAGATGAGCCTATAAATAGGACATGGTAAAACAGGTTTAAGATGAGAGTGATTCCATCTATCCAAAAGAACCAAGGGGTTTGCTTTTGGAGGGCATGCCCAGACTTCCTACTGAGCCTTGTCCTGCATAGGAAATAACAGAAATTCATTTTCTAAATCTGGTGTTGGCTACCACTGAAGATTCCCATTAGAAAGTCACTGTTTGGTTAATCCAATCATAATTTATCATTTTATTGCCAACTATTATAGTCTAGAGCTAATCTGATTAGTGCTAAGATCTCGAGATCAGTAGGAAAGTTTTCTGTTCCTTACTAGTTGTATTAGTTTTTAGGGCCATCATAACAAAGTACCACAGACTGAGCGGCTTAAACAACAGAAGTGTCTTGTCTCACAATTCTGGAGGCTGGCAGTCACAGATTCGTTCTGAGGGCTGTGAGGGAGAATTTCTTCCATGCCTCTGTTCTGACTTCTGAATGGTTTGCTGGCAATCTTTGGCATTCCTTGGCTTGTAAATGCACCACTCAGATCTACACCTTTATGTTCACATCGTGTTTTCTCTGTGTGCGTGTCTGTTTCTATCCAAATTTTCTCTTTATATAGGGACACATCCAGTTAGGGTTCGAGCCTACCCTAATAACCTCATGTTAACTTGATCATCATCTGCAAAGACCCTATTCCCATAAGAGGTCACATTCACAGGCACTGGGGAGTAGGACTTCAACTTTGTCTTGGGAGACACAATTCAACCCATTAGTATGATGTCAAAGGAGTTTAATTTAAAACTCTCCCTTTGGGTGGGGTGCGGTGGCTCACATCTGTAATCACAACACTTTGTGAGGCTGAGGTGGGTGAATCACTTGAGATCAGGAGTTTGAGACCAGCCTGATCAACATGCTGAAACCCCGTTTCTACTAAAAATACAATATTAGCCAGGCATGTTGGTGCGTGCCTGTAATCACAACTACTTGAGAGGCTGAGGTAGGAGAATTGCCTGAACCCAGTACGTGGAGTTTGCAGTGAGCCAAGGTTGCACCATTGCACTCCGGCCTGGGCAACAAGAGTGAAACTCCATCTCGAAAACAAAACAAAACAAAAACACTTCTCACTTTTTAGGATTCTCTTGGATACACTTCAGGATTATGCTTAAGGACAAGAGGATCCTTGTAGTAAATAAATCATCTCTTCTTTACATAGGCATTACATTTTCACCCTGATCCCTCCTTCATGCGTGTGTGTGTGTGTGTGTGTGTGTGTGTGTGTTTGCTTGATTTCTAGCCAGCGCAGCCTTTTTTTTTTTTTTTTTTTTTTGAGATGGAGTCTTGCTTTGTCACCCAGGCTGGATTGCAGTGGCATGATCTCAGCTCAGTGCAACCTCTGCCTCCTACATTCAAGTGGTACTCGGACCTCAGCCTTCCAAGTTGCTGGGATTACAGACGCCCAGCACCATGCCTGGCTAATTTTTGTATTTTTAGTAGAGACAGAGTTTCACCATGTTAGCCAAGCTGGTCTCAAACTCCTGGCCTCAAGTGATCTGCCTGCCTTGGCCTCCCAGAATGCTGGGATTACAGGCGTGAGCCACTGTGCCTGGCCCAGCACATCCTATCTAACTGGTCCTTTCCTAACAGGGCAAACCTGGAAATTAGCTATGCCAAAGGACTTCAGAAACTGGCAAGCAAGCTGACCAAAGCATTACAGAACACAAGGAAAAAGTAAGTATTGCGGTGGGAGTAAGGCAAAAATCATCTCCTTTTTTTTTTTTTGGTTTGAGACAGGGTCTTGCTGTGTCACCCAGGTTGGAGTGTGGTGGCACAATCAGAGCTCACTGTACCCTCAATCCCTCAGGCTCAAGCGATCCTCCCACCCAGCCTCCTGAGTAGAGTAGCTGGGACCATGCCCTGCTAAATTTTTTGTTTTTTATAGAGACAAGATCTTACTATATTGCCCAGGCTGGTCTTGAACTCCTGGGCTCAAGAATCCTCCTGCCTTGGCCTTCCAAAGCGCTGGGATTACATGTGTGAGCCACCACACTCAGCAAAATCATTCTTAAAGATAGTAAAAACTGCCGGGCGCGGTGTCTCAAGCCTGTAATCCCAGCACTTTGTGAGGCCGAGGCGGGTGGATCACGAGGTGAAGAGATCGAGACCATCCTGGTCAACATGGTGATACCCCGTCTCTACTAAAAATACAAAACATTAGCTGGGCACGGTGGCGCATGCCTGTAATCCCAGCTACTCAGGAGGCTGAGGCAGGAGAATTGCCTGAACCCAGGAGGCGGAGGCTGCGGTGAGCCGAGATCGCACCATTGCACTCCAGCCTGGGTAACAAGAGTGAAACTCCGTCTCAGAAAAAAAAAAGAAGATAGTAAAAACTGACATATGTTCCATTCAAGCATCCTCTTATAAACATGGCAGGTACATCACATCAAGCATGGCTTCCAGTTCTTGGGCACTATAGTGTCACGCACTGTGTTAATGTTTTACTGATACTCCCATTTAATCCTCATAAGAACCCTTTAGAGGTCTTGTTATCCCTGTTTACAGATAAGGACTTGAGACTCGGAAAGTTTAGGATACTGTCCCCAATCATCTAGATCATGAGTTGCTGAGCTGGATTCTTCCTCAGTTTGACTCCTAAGGCCACATTCATAATAGGTCTTGGTGATGATATTTAACTTGGGAAGTGGTGTTGTGAAAGTCAGACTGTCTTGGAGTCAGGAAGTGTGAATCCTGCGTTTTCTCTCCTCTACGACCTTTGACAAATAACCTGGTCTCTGTGGGCCTTTATTTCTTCCTCTGTTGGACAGAGAAATAATATGTGCTCTATTATGTGTGCGTAGGCATATTAAATGAGATCATGTGTGTGATGAGCTTAGCCCATTAGGTGCTGAAAAGTGTTGGTTCGCATTCTTTTCAATATATTGCAGCACAAAGAATGAAGTAGATTCCTTTATTAGGGGTAGAGAGGAAGGATATTGGTATACCAGAAATAGTTCATTGGTGGTAATTTGCTACGAAGATTCTTGACTAAGGCATGCAGACGTGCCCTTGAACTGGCAGTGCCATTGTAGAGGTCTCCTTTGATGATGAAAGAGATAAGGAGGGGAAAGGAAAAAAGGAAGCCTTCTGGAGGCTCAAATTCCCACTCTTCCTTAGGCATCAGCCGTAATAGCAAATGGTGGCTTTGAAATTGCTCTGACTTTTAGCTTTATTTTTATTTTTAGGACAGTTATTCTAGCAGACTACAGAGAAACCAGTATAGCACAGTGGTTGAGTATAGACAGACTGCCCAGGTTTAAATTCTAACTCTACTGCTTACCAGGTGAGTGACCTAGTACAATTTATCTTACCTCTCAAGGTCTCTTTAAAATGAAAGTAAAGGCTATCTCTTATGGTTGCTGTAAGAATTAAATGAGGTTATACAAGTGTGCTTAGCAGAGTACCTGGCAGGGATCGAAAGCTCTGTCAGTGTCCATTATGTTTTTTATTCTAATTGCATCCTAAGGAATGAGAGGTATAGGAGTGTAGGGTATGTGCATTGTGTTGCAGTTCTAGCATCCAGCATAATACCACTGGAGAGCTGGCAGGTCCAGAAATGGTAGGCCAACTGGGATTAGTACAGTATTTAACAGTAAACATTAGTCAATTTTTATCCATACTGAAATCTCTGTTAGGTACTACAGATATCCTGTTACTTCATTACTTCTAATTTTTTCTTTATTTTCCTTCCTTCCTTCTTTCCTTCCTTCCTTCCTTTCTTTTCTTTCTCTTTCTTTTCCCTCTCCCTCCCTCCTTCCTTCCTTCCTTCTTTCCTCCCTCCCTCCCTCCCTCCCTCCCTCTCTCTCTTTCTTTCTTTTGTCTTTCCATTTTTACCCCTTCTTTTCACAGGTATTGACAAGTTACTTCTACTTTAAAAGATCATTAAACGAAGGCCAGAGATTCTTCCAAGGCCACACAGAAAACAAAAAGAGAGCATCTCCATTCAGACCCAGGCCCCTCTGAGACCACACGCTTGTTTTCCTGCCCTGATACCCAGCTCCTCCAAGGGGCAAATGTCAGGTTCTCTATCCAAAAATGTGCCTGACTTCATTTTTTAATCAGCTCTGTTGAGCTTTAATTTACATTCAATAATAAGCTTCCATTTTAAGCATATGATTTGATCAGTTTTGACATACGTAAATACCTGTGTTGCCACCACTAAAATCAAAACATAGATATTTTTTATCATGCCAAAAGATTTATCATGCCTGTTTGCATTCCTTCCTACCCAACCCAAAGCAACCACTGATCTGATTCCTGTCAATATAGACTCATTTAGTGTTTTCTGGACTCTTCTATAATTGTAAGCACATAGCAGGTACGTTCTTGTGCCTAAGCTCATATCTGGCTTTGGATGTTTAGAAAATCTGGCATCCTTTGGTCTAGTTCTCTTCTTAGATTGCAGGATGCAAACTAAGGCATTTGGAGGCAAAACCTCTGCACCATTCTGACTGAGGCAGGGACGCAGATCCACTCCCTTCAGGCCTCTGCCCTTGGGGTTTATTGATGTGATTGGACTTATTACCCTGACAGTTGAAGGCAGAGTATATGGGGCCACTGTGAGCTGGGGTCCTTCTGTGGGAGAAAATGACATCACACTCCCTAATCCTCTCACTATGCCATGAGCAACTCGGTAGCACTATTCTTTGTGTTACATTGAGATAATGCTCATAGGACCATAAAATATCCGAGCTGTTGTCCTCAAACCCAGCAGGGAATAGGAGCTGGACTCCAACTCCAAGAGCAGCAGGAGGATGTGAGGAGGGCTCTCAAGCCCTTTCTAACTTAACTTTTTCTGAGTCTCAGTTTTTTCATCTGTTAAATGGGCAGCTAGAAAACATTGTCTTTGAGCGCTTCTAACCAACCTGTTCTTATCCTTGGCTATTTTATTTCCCCTATTTTATTTTATTTTACTTTTATTGCTTATTTTTTTCTTTTTGTGGGGAGAGGGGCTCAGGGGATAGGGTCTTGCTCTGTTGCTCAGGCTGAAGTACAGTGGCATGATCCTAGCTCACTGCAGTTCCCTGGGCTCAAGCAATCCCCCTGTCTTGGCCTCCCTAGTAGCTAGGACTCTGGGTGTGCATCACCATATCTGGCTAATTTTAAATGCTTTTTGTAGAGACAAGGTCTTGCTGTATGTGTCGCATAGGATCGTTTTGAACCTGTGGCCTCAAGTGATCCTGTCACCTCAGCCTCCCAAAGTGCTGGGATTTACAGGCACTTTAGGAGGCTGAGGCAGGTGCCACCACACCTGGCCATTTCCCCTATTTTATAGAGATATGAAATAGAAAATGAAAATCTAAATGAAAAATGACTGCAAAAAAAGCAGTATATATAATGCATAGAGTGCAAATAAACATATTGGCAGAATTTAATCTCATGGAGAAATTGAAATAAGGTTAGGGAAGTGAATACAGTTGTTGAATGTGGTGAATCAGATGTGATGCTGTTATTTCACAGTTTCCTGGGTAAATTACACTCACCTTTTTCCCCACTGTTTTTTGCCTTTAGCTGTGTCAGCAGCGCCTGGGCCTGGGCCTCGGAGGGAATGAAATCCACAGCAGAACTCCATCAGTGAGTGCTCCCACGCTTGCCTTTCTCCAACTCCAAAGGGAGTCATAAATATTTAAAGTGGGTGTGCTACAAATATTCCACTTCAAACTTGCACTGAATAGATGTGCCGTAACGCACTATTTTATTTCCCCAGAAAGTAATTTGGAAAGTAGATGTAAACCCTCATATTATGCTCGTATGTCTTGTGTGTTTTATTTCCAGGAAACTTGGCAAAGCAATTGAATTGGAAGCAATAAAACCGACATATCAAGTCCTAAATGTACAAGAGAAGAAGAGAAAATCAGTGAGTCCAAACCTTTCTTTTCTCTTCCTATGTAAAGCAAGATTCCTGTGTTTGGCCCAAAAAGGAAAAGGCAATCTGAAAGTGGTACCAGGTTTCAAGAATTTATCCTAAAAATAAAATAAATACTTGCATTTACTTTAAAATAAATGAATAATAAAAAAAACGCAATCCAAGATTTATGTCCAAGGATGTTTGTTAGAGCATTGTTTGTAATAGTGAAAAACTGGAAACTACTGAGTCATTCAAAATAAATTGTCATAAATTCAAGAAATAGAATACTTTGCAACCATTAAAAAGCTTATAGAAGAGTTCATCACACTGGGATTTTTTTTTCACAGTATACTGTGAAATAAAGCAGAATTTAAAAAATCTAATTGATACAATCTCAACTTCATAAAATGAATATGTATATATATGTTTAGAAAAAACTGGAAGATGCTTCTCTATATGTTAATAAGAATGATCTTTAGATTGTGAAATTAAAGGTTATTTTTATTTCATTTTAATACTTTTTACATTTTTAAAACAATTTTATCATTCTGTTTGTAAACAGAAGAATGATAAGCACAATTTTTACAAACATGTTTTCTATGCTTATCAGCTTGGTATTATGTAAAGGTGATAATGGACACAATCCTCAAAAATTCTAAAAAATACAGAAAAATAATTAAACAATCCTTTCAGGGGCACTTGATCCTCTGAGAACAGATCCTCTACTCTTTCTCTGTGCCTTGCCTTCTACAACAGTTTCTTGCTTGCTTTCTCTCTTCCTTCCTCCCTCCCTCCCTCCCTCCCTCCTTCCTTTAGTTTTTTTTGTTGTTGTTGTTGTTTTGATGGAATTTTGCTCGTCACCCAGGCTGGAGTGCAATGGCAAGGTCTTGGCTTGCTGCAACCTCCACCTCCCAGGTTCAAGTGATTCTCCTGCCTCAGCCTCCCAGGTAGCAAGGACTACAGGCACCTGCCACCATGCCTGGCTAATTTTTGTATTTTTAGTAGAGGCCAGGTACCGCCATGTTTGCCAGGCTGGTCTTGAACTCCTGACCTCAGGCGATTCGCCCATCTCGGCCTCCCAAAGTGCTGGGATTACCTGTGTGAGCCACCACACCCAGCCTAGAACAGTTTCTTTTGTGTCCTTTTTTCTTTTCTTTGTGTGTCATTCGTTAGTTAAGCACTTTATATACTCTATTTCCAGGCAACATAATTGGGTATTTAATAAACGCTGCTTGACTCTGATAGGGGTGGGGTTATGGTCACTGTTTGTTTCAGGACGGGTAGCAGGTAAGATGTTTGTAAGCTGTGGTAGGTGGTCCCTCTGAAGGGAAGGGGCAGTGGTTAAGGGGGAGTCTCAAGGGACCGCAGTCTGATAAAGCACATCTTAACGGTGGCAAGTCAGAAGGTTGAGGAGAGATGTGAAAGTTCTGATGGAGGAGAAATTATTTTTAAAAATTTTATTCAAACTTATTAAACTGAGTCAGGAAGTAGAATTGTTGTTTGTATGTACATAGGTATATTTTACCAGAATGGATGTTCTATTCAGAGTTTCAGGTGATGGACAGAACTTGATAGGAATTACTAGCAAGCAATATAATCTTCTGCCTTTGCAAGCCAACTTAATAAAAACCAATTACTTGTCTATATTTCATTGATTACAAATTATTTTTATACAGCATAATAATATGAAGTCACTAGCATTTCTTTAGTATTTACCATAAATGAGGCATGGTGCTGTGATAACTGATCACAGTGCTTTAGTCAATGAATATCATGAACCCTCCAAACTGCTGGTCCTGTTTATCTTCTTTTTGGCATTGCCCCTCTCCACTGCACCCCACCACCCCACTCTACTCTCTCACAAAAGATAAAAGATTAGATTTCATTTTTTAAAGAGAACTTGCTCCACATTCCAGCCACATACATGGAGTCAAAAGTGGCATAGTACATAAAATATTTTCATTGTGTCGGTTGCAATGAACCATATATTCTAAATTTAACCAACTGGAAAAAAAAGTGTAGCATTTGCTAGGTCTCAGAGTGGTTGAATAATGTCTAATCTGCTGGGTCTATGTTCCAGGGCAAAAGGTTCTGTTGTAACTTACATCAGATCTCCCTGGGAAGTGGTCTTGATCATTTTCATCATTATTGTTACTGTTTCTTTGGATGTTTAAAAGCAAGGGAAAAAGTTAATTATGATTGAGTTTAATATCGTTGAAACTAAAGCAATATTCACTTCAGGGGCAATAAAGACAAATAGCAAAATTGGCACTGCTAGGACTGTTACCAGTTTTCATGCATGCTGATGTTTTTGCTGCATGGATTGACATTTAAGATGATATGATGGGACCAGCCCATGCAAGGAGCCCTTGCACATGACTGCACATGTTTATGTGCTACGTGCTTACAGATTAGAAATAATTATTTTACCAAGCCCTGTTACTTGACACAGGGATAAGATAATTTGGCTAATATGTCCATTGTAGGATCTTGAAATTCCCATGAATTGTGATAGTGATTGATAAGCCAGTTCTGTGACTGTCTTAGTTCAGGCATCTCTAACAAAATACTATAAATGGGATAGCTTATAAATAACAGAAATTTATTTCTCACAGTTCTAGATGCTGGGAAGTCCAAGATCAAGGCACTTACTCGTTAGCTGTCTGATGAGGGCCCACTTCCTGGTTCATCAGTGGCTGTTGAACTCACTGTAACCTCACATGGCAGAAGGGGCAAGGCAGCTCTTGGGGTCTCTTTTATAAGGGGACTAATCTTATTCATGGGGCTCCACCCTCATAACCTAATCATCTCCCAAAGGCTTCACCTCCAAATATCATCACACTGAGGGAACAGGAAAATTTTAGGGGTAGAAACATTTAGACTATCGCAGTGACTAAAGAAGAAAGCAAAACTTTTGTTTCTTTTTCCTTCTTCAATAGCTTGACAGTGAAGTTGAAAAGACAGCAAATCTTGTCCTTAGCAACTGGAATCAGCAAATTAAGGCAAGTATCCACAAATATCATTTGTGTAAACTCAGTTTTTAGAAGTGAAGTGTTTTGCTTTCATACAAATGTGGTGGCATGTTCTAACATGTGTACTTCTAACTGCTAACTGAAGAGAAAAATGTTTCCTTACCTGAGATATTACATAGATATATTTTTCACCCAAATCAATGGAAGTGCATGGCTCTAAATATGATTATTTAGCACTTATGTGCTAAGTGCTATATATTTATTTATTTAATCATCATGACAACCCAACGTCATATGTCATTGTGCATTGCCCCATTTTACAGATGGAGAAATGGAGACACAGAGAGTTTAAGTAATTTGCTCAAGGTTACAGAGTTGGTTAATGGTTGAACCAATGGTTGTCACAAGTTGGGTTTCAGGTTCACTGCTCTTAATCATTACATTATACTGACTGCCTTTCTGTATAATTTGTAACTTACAGCAAATGACAAACACTGCCTGAGTTTTATTTTTTTCATTTGTAGAAAGGTGTTAGTGATCTCTACATCACCAGTGAGAGTGGCCCAGTGAGGGATGGGTAGTGATCTGTAAAAGGGGGCGTGTGTATCAATTTCATGAGTATATGAGGTCCACTTTTTGTGCACAGCACTATACTAAGACATGATTTTTTTTTCAAGTAATTTAAAGTTTAGTTGGCTAGATGACATATGTGCAGGAAATAGGGAATACATTCTAAAGAGAGGAATTATGATCTGGTGTGGGAAGCTAGCGTATATCAGTATGAGTTCTTAAGCAGAGAAAATAACAGATGGGATCCATATGCAGAGAATATTCTAGAACAATGTAGTATAGAAGGAATTCATTTCAGGTAGAAAGAACTAGCAGTAAATCTGCTAAGAAGATTCAATGAACCCCTCTGAGAAGACCTGTTCTCTAAGAGTTGAAATCGTTTTTCATCTCCAAAGTGTTAGTGCCCACAGAGAACCTTTACAAGTAAATAGCCACTCATGCCAAATAACTAGAGATAGGCACCCTCAGAAACAGGCGAACTTGGTGTTACCAAGTTCCACCTCCCAAACAGGCCAAATCCACCTCAAACCAAATTTTGTTTGCTTAATTTATCTCTGGAACGTCATCCTCAGCCAAATTCAACTATGTAGATTAGGAAATGATCCCCTAACTCCTAACCCACTTCAAGGTGTCAGCATGAACAGGGTAGGGAGACTCTGAGCATGCCTTCCTTCCCCACTTCTTTCTACTTCTCTGACTCCAGCAAGTGCAGGGCATTTCACAAGATGCCAGGCAAATGCCCGCCTCTCAGGCTTGGGCATCGGGAAGCAGAATTGCGACCCTTGCTGCAAGTTTTAAGAGAACATCTTAAAACAATCTCAGTTGTGCCCCAGATTGATGTAAAGAATGATGCAGGCAGTCTTCTGTGTTTGCTGTGATATTTTTTGTGGTAAAGCCATTATGTTCACTAGAACATTATTTTGGAGGCTTGCAGGCCTTCAATGATTTAGCAAAATGCATAACCCTCTTGAGGGTACCTGATATAATGAAAAAATATGCAGGAGTTCTCAGGACAAAGTGTTAGCTGCTCTGATGTTTTAGGTACATTTTGAGGTGAGGATGGGAATGAAGAACTAAAAATACACATTTTTTTTAGACTTTGGAGGATTCTAGGATACATAATCATTTAAGCTAGCATATGAATGTGCTTTGTTCCAAAAGAGAAGAAGAGTTTTCTCTAGGTATTAGCTTCTGTTCCTTTTTTTCTTGTTTGCATGTTTTTTACTCTAGGCCAAGAAGAAATTAATGATTAGTACCAAGAAACATGAAGCACTTTTCCAGCTCGTAGAAAGCTCCAAGCAATCTGTGACTGAGAAGGAGAAGCGGAAGGTAAGCTGTCATGGCTGGCTGGGCACATGTGGCATAAGACGGATGGACTTGCTGCCCTTAGCTACGAACACAAGAGAACGGGTTGATTCCTCCTTCTCTGGGATCCCTGCAGAGATGTAGCTTGACAGAGCATTAAAGGGGATTCTAAATCATTCCTGGCGTGTGTGCATACATACACACACACACATACACATATATTAAACTTTTTCATTTTAATTTTTTTTAAAGAGAAGGGATCTCACTGTGTTGCCCAGGCTGGCATCAAAGTTCTAGGCTCAAGGGATCCTCCCACCTCAGCCTCTCAAGTAGCTGGAACTACAGAAGTGTGCTACTATGCCTGGCCCACATATATTTTAAAAAAAATATTATTGACAGATGACAAATGAGACCAATAATGCCCAAATTTTTTGAACAAGAACTCTATTAATATTATCTTTAAAAACCTCTCAACTAATACCCTAAATAAGTAAAAAAAAAAATACATGTGTTGTTACATATAGTACTTTACGTATTATGTTAATATGTTATGAATATTATAAAGCATAGAGGTAGAGATGTTTGCAGGTTGAGATAAAGATGAAATAATATTTTAAATGATTAGCAAACCATGATGTCTTTAGATAATCATTAAGTAATGTTTTCAGGCAAAATACATGCTTGGAACAAGGTTCAGCCTTAACTATAGTAAATTTAAATGTATATTTCTAATAGTCTTCTTGAAAATATATATATATATATATTTTTTAGAAAGAGTCTCACTGTGTGGCCCAGGCTGGAGTGCAGTGACACAATCTTGGCTCACTGCAACCTCTGACTCTTGGGCTCAAGTGATTCTCCCACCCCAGCCTCCCAAGTAGCTGAGACTACATGCTTAGCTAAATTTTTTTGTATTTTAATAGAGACAGGGTTTCATCATGTTGGCCAGGCTGGTCTCAAACCCCTGACCTCAAGTGATCTGTCTGCCTTTGCGTCTGAAAGTACTGGGATTACAGGCATGAGCCAACTGTGCCCAGCCAGCCTTCTCAATAATTTTTAATTTGTTTATCAAAATTTTTGTCAGATCTCATTTCAGTGTTTGCCCTTTCACATGGGTAGTGACACACTCACAACGAGGAGAGGTGGCAGCATCAGCTCTGACATTTTGCTGTGGATTCTTTGCAGTTAAATTGGTAGTAGTAACATCAATCTACAGCTTCTTGGCAGAAATCTTCTAAGATGTTTGTGCATTTTGTGTATGTTAACCTAATTGGAGCCAGATAGTGTCTGTAAAACCACATGGCTCAGGTATATGTCAGTGGTCACATGTTCCAGATGTTGGAAGGGAGGACGCAGTCGGGGCCTAGGGCAGTTTTTCAGGTTGCAGGATCCCCAGCCATCTCCAGGCTGTATCAGAATCCATAACTGTCCACGTGTGAGCACCGGTGTTGACTCATATATTAAATAAGAGTAAGCTTGACAACTGTGTTTTTAGGCAAAATGAACACAAATAATATTGGGGTGCAGGAATAAAGATTTTCTGTTCACACCTCAATAGATTATCTTGCACATCTCTTTTGGTATGTGCCCCAGTTGAAAGCCTTTGAAAGAGTCAATATCTTCCCCAAAAGATGAGTCCCCCCTAAGGAAATGCAACCAGCACTACTGCAGCCCCTTAAGAGGAATAGAAAATTGTCATTGCAAGTAGCTCTTTCATTTCATCTGAAGAAATATCCATTGAATAACTTAATTTCATTGTTAGCAAGATTTTACAAGATTCTTATTTCTTTCCATGTCAGTCTTCACAGTTGGAAATGATCATAACAAGTATTGAATAATGAGACAGCTTCCGGGGAGGCGAACCCGCAGTCTGTTAAAATACTCAGTGCCAGGACCTGCCAAGGCATTCTGAGCACTCATTAGAAGATATTCTTTATTGATGTCATGCAATATTAAAGAAAAAAGTATGGCAGCTAAGTAGTGAATTCTCTCTTCCTACCCTCATCAGCAGATTCCCTGGGAAGTAAAGGTCCACAGTGCTCTCTCCCCTCCTCCAGCTGTTAACCATAACCTTGGCTGTACTGTCACAAACCCATGCCATCTTCACTGCTTAATCTGGCAGCTTTTGTTAATCCTGAAGCTGAACATCCAAGAGGGGGACATTCGTTTTCTCATCTCACATAGAAGCGCTCATGATCACCTGAGCTGATGCTCTGTGCTGCTCAGCAAATTCTTCCTGGTTTCCTGCCCAGCAGTCTTGGTTCTCACCAGAAGCTGATCTAAACCTCTGTTCTCCTCACACCTCCATCCACGCACTCCTGGCACAGTATCTTGCCTCCTACCTCACAGAGTAAATAGAAGTCAGCACAGCCACCTGCCTACTGAAGTAATAGCATTTACATATCTGCAGTGGAGAGGCCAGTTCTCCACCCTGTGCTGTAATCTCATTCCATCCTGCCTCTCAGAGGCCCTCTCTTGATTATCCCATATTTCCCATGTCTTGGACAGCACCCTCCCTAATGATTCTCCCCACCAGGCTTCTATAATTACCCGTCTTATAGTCTGTTCAGGCTGCTATAACCAAGTTCTATAGATGGGGTGGCTTCAACAACAGACATTCTGGAAGTGTGGGATCAGGGTGCTATCTGGGGAGGCCCCCTGTTTCAAGCTGCAGACTGTCTACTTCTCATTGCATCCTCACATGGTGGGAAGACAGCAAGGGAGCTCTCTGGGGCCTCTTCTAAAAGGGCACTAATCCCATTCATGAGGTTTCCACCCTCATGACATGATCTGGTGGCAGGGGAGCACAAATAGTCTACTGCACCTTCTCCCCATCTTGGAAGAGTAAAGAAAGTTGCAGGGTCACATTTTTATGGGGTTTCCCATTCCTCTCCAGATATTGTCATGTCTTCTTTTTAGAATACATCTTAGTGAAAGGGGTGTCTGCTCTGTCCCCACTTTCTCATCTTCTGTTCACTCTTCAAATCACCCTAATCAAGCTTTTCCCATCTTTCCACTAAGAGTATTCTTGCCATCAAAAACAATGTCTTCCCATTGCTAAAGCCAATAGGTACTTTCCAAGTCTTACCTTAGTTATTGGCAGTATTACACATTGTTTATTTCCCCTTTCTAGAAACGTTCTCTTCTTTTATCCTTATTAACACCTCATGATTTTGGCTTTCCTACTACTTTCTGTAAATTTTAGATTAGATATTCTTATGGGTTCTCCTTTTTAGTCTGATCTTTATATATTACAGTTTCTGAAGATTTCTTTCCCGGGCCTCACTCTGTTGTCTTCACCATTGTCTCTCCAGTATCTGATACAGCACTCTCAATATCAGTTACTCCATAAACAATATGCACACAATAAGTATATTCTCAAGGCTTCAACTATAGTATCTATGCTGGCAGTAGCCAAATTTATACCTCCAGCCCAAACTAATCTGTAAACTGCTTTCTGACACCTCAAATTCGATATCCGAAATCCAACCATCACTTCTCTCTGCCAAAGATAATCTTTATTCCTGTGTTCTCTATGTCTTTGAATATCACCACCCACCATATCCTCCCAATTCCAACTCAAACCAAACACGTCAGTGGTGTGATCTCTGCTCACTGCAGCCTCCGCCTTCCAGTTTCAATCAGTCTTCTTGCTTCAGCCTCCCAAGTAGCTGGGACTACAGGCGCCCACCACCACACCTGGCTAATTTTTGTATTTTTAGAAGACACAGTGTTTCACCATGTTGGCCAGGCTGGTCTTGAACTCCTGACCTCAGGTGGTCCACCCGCCTTGGCCTCCCAAAGTGCTGGGATTACAGGTGTGAGTCACTGCACCCGGCCCAGAGAGGGTCCATTTTAATGGCCTTTGTCTCTGTCCTTGAAACTCCTAAACTGCTAAGTCAGGGGGTCCTTAATGTTTTTCAAAGAATGATCTGAAGACCATTTGCATCAGAGCCATCTGAGGATCTGTAGTCAAAATTCAGATTTTCTAATTCTACTACAGATGTACGAAATAAGCATTGCTACTTGTAGAACCCTGGAATCTCCAATTTTACTAGTACTTCAGGTTATTTCTAGACATAGTAAAGTTGGAGAATTGGCTGGGTGCGATGGCCCACACTCGTAATCCTAAAAATTTGGGAGGCTGAAGTGAACAGATCGCTTGAGCCCAGGAGTTGGAGGCCAGACTGGGTAACATGGTGAAACCCTACCTCTGCAAAAAATACAAAAATTAGCCAGGTGTGATAGTACATGCCTGTGATCCCAGCTATTTGGGAGGCTGAGGTGGGAGCACTGATTGAACCTGGGATGGGGATGTTGCAGTGAGCCAGTGAGCCATGATTGTGCCACTGAACTCCAGACTGGGTTATAGAGCCAGAAAGAAAAAAAAGAGAAGAAGAGAAGAGAAAGGAGAGGACAGGAGGGGAGGGGAGGGA